GATAGAAGAGGTTGATCTGATCGAAAAGGTTGTGGTGGTGGTTTGGTTACAGTGTATGTTTGCTCTAAGTAAATATTCATTTACTTAGAGCAAACAACATTGTGCCTAAACTACTTAACTTCACTCTTCATTTCATTTCTCTTCTCTCTCAGGTGCACTTTTCCTTCTTATTCTGCTATTCCATCTTATTATCTTCTTTTATTCTGCAGTATCTTTTCCATTTCAATTATGTTATTCAGAAATTATAAATTAGTCAAGGTTTTTTTTTACTCGACCTAACAGGAAGGTCTTTTAAAGTTCTGGGAAAAGAAAAAAATACAAAATATAAAATTATTGCCATATTCATCAAATTATTTTCGGTAAAATTATGTTTTTTTTTCACTGAAATTTTATCAGCAGATCAGTGACGTGTGGTTCTTATTTTGAAGGTTGGGATCATTATTTGAAAATTTGATTAGAAAACCGCTTTTGTATTGTTGATAGAATAAAATATATTTGAAATTCGCTTGTGAAATTCAGATTATTTGCGTAATGATAGAATAAAAGACATTTATTTAAAATTGGAATAGCAAAACCAGAAAAGTTGCAATCATGGATTTTAAAGGAGAGTTAATCCAAGAGTGTTACTCCATGCATTTCTCCACTTTTCTCTCTCCACTCTTACATCCAAAAAATATTTTTCATATTTTTTTATCGAATTTTAAAATCGGCTAGAAAATCTTTTCGAAAACTTCAACAAATTTCAAAATTTATTGAAAGTCTTTCAATAAATTTATTGAATAATGAAATTTTTTTCAATAAATTTTGAAATCCGTTAAAAAAATGATGTAGGATTTTTTCGAAATATAAAAATAATTTTACAATTTTTTAAAATTGTGGGGTGAATGAGAATCGTGATGTAGGAAATAACACTCTTAACTAGGGGTGTTGCTCCCTCCACCACCACACCTTTCTTCCTCCACCTCCCCTTTACTATTTTGCCCTTAAATAAAATTTTATTTTTAGGGTTAATTTTTTTAATTTTAACCATTCACAACCTATTCCACTAATAACCTATTTTAATTCCTCCTACATGAGTAAAATATTTTTCTTTTATTTTAACATTATTTTTCTTCATCTCTTTCTTTTGTGGCGGTGAGATACTACAAGTTGTAAAGGTTGATGGTAGTGGAAAGAATTATCAAGTAGTCTCCCTCTCGTGGTGCAGTGTCGCTCTCGTGATGCAGTGTCGCTCTCGTGGTGCAGTGTGTGGAGTGGTGCAGTGCGTGTGTTGCTTCCTTAAGGTGTGTTTTCGAATAAACCTTCAAATAAAACCCTAAAATAAAAAACGTAACTTTTAAACGGTGACATCCTTCAACGGATGTCAACATCCGTTTAAGGAAAGAACGGATGTCAACATCCGTTTAAGGAAAAAACGGATGTCGCATCCGTTTTTTCCTTAAACGGATGTTGACATCCGTTTTTTTCCTTAAACGGATGTTGACATCCGTTCTTTCCTTAAACGGATGTTGACATCCGTTCTTTCCATAAACGGATGTTGACATCAGTTCTTTCCTTAAACGGACTCCGAATTACGTTTTTAATTTTAGGATTTATTTTATTAGTTTATTCTTTATTTTAGAAATATTTTAATAATTTAATTTAAATGTTTTGATTTATTATTTTTTAATATATTTTTAATGTATTTTAATAATGTAAGGAAAATGAAGAAGAAAGAATCGTATGAGGAGAAGTGAAACGGAGAAGACAAATGGAGTTGTAAAGTAAAACAGAAGACAAATTGTTAAACGAAATTGAGAGATGGAAAGATTGAGTGCAGGGAGTAAAGTAGGAGAACTAGGTTTGGAATAAATTAAAATAATAAAAATAAAAAATTTTAATTTGAGGATATAATTGGAATTAAAAAAAATTGGGGAGGTGGAGGGAGAAAGGTGTGGTGGTGGAGGGAGCAACACCCCTTAACTAGAAACCGTGGACCCAATCAGATGAGCCCATTTCAAGCCCAACATTCTTTTACATTTTTTTTGTTAAAACCCATGGCAGGCCCATCATTTAACTAATTAGACAATATTTAAATAAAAAAAACAGTCAATTGATGAGAAACATCACTAATCAAAGGAGTGTGATGTCTCCAACAATCATATTTACTAAATTTTTAAAAAATTTTATCACACGAGTGACTTTATGACATTAATTTAACGCTCTGAGCACAAAAAAATTGTTAAATTAACGTTACATGTTTTTATATTTTCTATCTCGTATGTATTTATTTTATTTCTGGAGAATAAAAAATAAAAATATAATAACTATATCTTGACTTATTTTTAGTAAAAATATATTTTTTTAATTTCAATTAATTATTTTTTGAAATAAATATTTACAAATTAACATTGATAAAAAAAAGGTATTAATTTACAATCTCTTTCAACTTTTCATTCTAATTTTATCACCAAATCACCTTAAAACTTCTTGCTTTACTTGCACCATGAATTTTAACATGGTATCGACTATATTAAAATTGTTTGGTACAAGTTTGTATATGTGTCAAAATGTTTGATTGATTTCAAATTGGGTATATTTTAAAAAAAATTAATGTGGATCATATTTAATTTGATTTATTAAATTTATGAATTAAACGAGTTTAATTCGAATGGAATATAAGTTGAGTACACCCTACCAATTTCATTTCGTGCTTTATAATTTTGGTGTTTTTCAATTGTTGTACTTTTTATCATAATTAAAGATTTTGCTTTGCATTGCATCTTTCTCCTTAGTCTTATCTCTCACGTGATGGATGTAGTTTTCTTTTTATATATAAATTTGGATAAATGTTCTAAACTCGTGGAAGTAAATTTTTATAGTAATTTTAAATTTTAATCTACAATAAACAAACATCGTAGTATTAATTATTAAACAAGTATCTTAATTTATCATGGGTGTGTAAAAAACTTGGATATATGATGAATAGGGTAACACAGAAGATGGTATGGGAACATCCTTGTTACATGTTAGTGGAGATTTGACATAACATGATGTAATGTTTTTTTTTTTTTTTTTAATTTTGGAAGCACTCCAATGTCGTTTATTAGTAGTGTCGTAAACGAATCTAAGATACTTTTTTCAAATCACTAAACAATAAATAATAATAATAATAATAAGGTTTTGGCCTCTTGGTTAAGTTTTCCAAAACAACCATAGAAATTTAGAGCTATGTTTTTTGAATTTTTTTAGAAAAACCTCATTTGAAAACATAGTCTATATATCTGTGATATGAAATTGTGTTATATTTATTTTATTTATTACATATATGTGTGTGTGATAAAATTTTCAGTTTTTCATAAAAAAAAAACAAATATTTGCTATTCTCCCACTTATCTGGACCATTCAGATGAATAATAACTTCAGTGGTGATGATCTTCTGCTATAAAAATAATGCCCTAGCATTTCAGATTTCAAATCATGGTCATTGTCAATGCAATTTTTTTAAAAGAAATAAATAATTAGGAATGATGACGACATAAACAAAAATAACTAGGTCACATATATTGAATATTTAAAATCTATTAAACACTTTTGTATGTGTAGTCAATCTTTGATATTTCTACATTTTCAAAACTATACCAATGATACAATTTAATTTTTAATATAAACAAATTTACACAGTCAAATGTTTAAAATATTATTTTTAAAAATCAACAATCTTAACGATTATCAAGTATTAATCAAATAGTTGTCCAAGCAGATTAAATTTCATTTATAAAATGTTGATAATGTCAGTCGTTACAAAAATTGTTAAAAGACATCACAAAATAATGTATAGTGGTAAGAAGCAAAATCATATAACAGTACGATCTGATACCAATAGAACTAGCAGCAATTAATGATGATTATATTGAAAATTAGTTAAAACATGCATCATGTCAAATTATAAGTGGAGCTAAACAATTTTGTTTTTATCATTGTTAGTGATGTACATTTTTGTTTGATATATCATGATGTGATGTATTTTTTAATTTTGGAAGCACTCCAATGGAGTTTATTAGTAAAGAAAATGTCTCTTTAATAATCTTTTTACAACAACCTACGTGATAGCTTGTGATTAATCCGTTTCAAATATATCGACCAATAAAATAGTGACAAATAGTCTGTTATTAAAAAAATTATTAAAAAAAGTTGTTAATATATCATGGTCCTATTAGTAATGTCGTAAACAAACAAGATTTTTCTAGTTTTCCAAAACACCCATCTATGATTTTTGAAATTCCTTTTAGAAGAGTCATGAGATAAAACTTCATTTGAAAACATAGTCTATATATTTGTGATATAAAATTGTTTTATATTTATTTTATTTATTACATATGTGTGTGTAATAAAATTATCAGTTTTTCATATAAAAAAATGTAAGAAACAAATATTTGCTATTCTCCCACTTATCTGGACCATTCAGATGAATAGTAACTTCAGTGGTGATGATCTTGTGCTATAAAAATAATGCCCTAGCATTTCAGATTTCAAATCATGGTCATTATCAATGCAAGTTCTTTGAAAAGAAATAAATAATTAAGAATGGTTGTCGTCTCCAATCATGTTTTATTTACTATTTTTTAAAAAAAAAATTAACTCATTTAATTAATAATTAAAAGAATAAGAGATAAATACAAACGTCATTATAACTAAAAACATAGCCGTTATTATTCTATAAAATTGTGATCGTGCAAATTTTCCCTAGGCATGGGCAATTTTTGGATTTTCCTAAGGATGGAAAGAGGGTATATACATGTATAACTACTAAGGGTAGTGAGTCTCTCAAAATGCATCAATAATTAATGAATGAGAAAGGGTTTTTAGGGTTTGTCTTTAGTTTGTGGGGATGTCCCACAAATCACGTGAAGGGGAAGGTCTTATAGGAACTGTACAAGACAAAGAGCAGTCATTTACAATCTCCTCTAATCCTTTCCTAGCCAATTATAATTTATCTCTCACGTGGGATTCTTGCTCCCACCACCGCCTCTAATTTCGTCTTCACACGCTTCATCTTCTGTAGCTACCCTTCATCTCTCTCTATATATATCAAATTTTCTTAGTAACAATTTCATGCTACTGTCATGGGTGACTCTTCTTCTTCTTCGTCTTCGTCTTCTTCTCCTGCTTCATACATTCATTTGGTACACACACACACATATATATATACAGTTTTTCTTTAACCTTTTTTGTTATAGTTAAGGTTGTTGATCACAGGTTTTGTACAAATTACATATAGGTGCAGCATCTGATCGAGAAGTGTTTGATATTTCACATGAGCAAGGAAGAATGCATGGAAGCACTTTCTAAACATGCAAACATTAATCCTATTATAACATCCACTGGTATGATCTTAATTTTCTCTCTACACATACCTTAAACCAAACACCATGCACACATGCAACATCGTTGCAGTGTTCCTTCGCGTTCCAAAACCTTAAGATTTCCGATAACTTCATGATCAATCCTATATATCTATGTTTATGTATATGAGTTTGATCGATTGGATAGTGTTAGTAAAAGTTGATTTTTTCGTATGAAAAATAGGGGAGCTGGCAAGATTTCCTTTTGAAAATCATGTCTGCTTTAGAGAACTTGTACTTTTCAATTCCTTCCTCTTTAAATCCGAAGGAATTTTACTTGAAAACGTTAGATACATGTTTGAATCATTGTCGGGTAAAACACAGTTAAGATTTTAAGAGAATTATTATAATCACAGTTTGTATAGATGAAATTCTAAAATCGAGTGACTATAGCTGGCATGATATATTAATAGGATATACTAAAAATTCAAAACCCTAATTATATAACTTTGAATAAACAAAGAAGAACATCGATCACATCGTCAAATATCGTATTTTTTTAAGGAAGAAGGCCACATGAGTAAATAAAACAGAGATTTTTTTTAAAAAAAAAATTCCAAGTAAGAATTTATGGTTATGAATGGAGACATATATAAGTTCCAGTACCAACCAACCAAAAGAGAAGCATGCACGTGAAGATGTTATATATATATATATGATAAATTAAGAAAAAGATGAATGTATTATCAGTGTGGAATGAGCTAGAGAAGGAAAATAAGGAATTCTTTGAGCCTTATTACATGAAGTGGAAGGGTAAAGACGAAAGAGTGTCTGAGGAAGAGACAACAGAGATAATACAGAGGACGATCTCAGAGTCAGATTCCTTTAAAGATGCAAAAGACAGTTGAAAAGGATGTCACCTTTGGGTTTTGCTAAAGTTTTAGATTCTTCATTCCTTCAACACACGATATATACTACTATGTCTGGTGATACCTTGTACATATATTAATTACATGGATGCATCTATTATATATTAGCTATGATATGATGATTATACCTACTAAACTACTTCTCATGCTTTATTATGGATACGTTATCCACCTCTTGGCAAATAATAAAATGCCACGTCACCCATGTAATTTTATCTCAGATAGATATGTAGTATATATATATATATATGTAGCAGTATTCGTGTATGTTTTTTTATCACATCTATATGTATCATGTATGGGATTAAAACCACATGTCAAATGTGTACGTGCATGGCTTGTTATATGAAAAGATATGGAGATACAAAAACTTACATTAAATTTAAATTTGTTTCGATTACATCAAATAATCTCACACTATTTAGATGTTAAAATTAATTGTAATGTAAATATTTTCTTTTAGAAGTTAAAATTAATTGTAATTTAAATATTTTCTTTTTCATTCTTTCTTTCAAAACATTTTTTAAAATAAAATCATGATACAGTATCATTTTTCAAAATAAAAAATATCTTAAATATATTTTATGGAAATAAAATTTTAAACTAATAAAAGTGTGCCGGTATAGAGAGACAGATATTACAAAAATAAAATGTGATAAATAGTATTAACTATATATATTTTTAAGCTTTTTCGCCTTTACTGGTTCCAGAAAAATATTATTGGTTGAAGAAACTTAATGAAAATAAAAAAACTGTTAATTGAATAAACTACTATGGAATTCTGAAAGACTCACAGACTTACACAAATTACTGAGCTAACATGGATCTTCAAATTACTTTTCGTCTACAATTTTAAATTTCATCCCATTCATGTTCGGATTTCATGTAAAGAAAAAATATTGAAGTTTTTTTTTAAGAACTTAAATTTTATTTGTCATAGAAAATGTTATTGAGTTGTATGAAAATGCATTAGACTATTATTTATAGGAAAAGTGCTGTAAGTCTTTTGAAAAAAAAATTGAAATTTAAAGCATTCATTAAATATTTCAATTGTCTAATATTGTAAAACTTTAAATTTTTCCCAAAAAATAATTCTAAAATTTCCATGCTGTCTTTCTTTTCTACCTCTCCTATCTAACGGATAAAATACTGTTATTAGAAAACACCATTAAATTTTAATTAATGAAATCATATATTTTATTTAAACCAAATTTATACTAAATAATATATTTCATAATTTTCCTTTTCATTAGTAAACAAAAAAAAAAAAAAAAGTCCGTCTTCGGTCTCATAGTATGTATTAACTTTATTTCTCTTTCCCTCTCAAAATAAAAGTGTCCACATTTATATTAATATTAGTTTTTGAGTTATTCAATATTTAAAAATGAACTATTGTTTATTTTCATAAATTTAATACTAGAATTTTAATTTTAAACAATATCTAAAAAATAAGTTCCAAAATTTTATGTTTTTCAGGTCATTTTAAAAATCTATTCTCCAGAATGATATTATTTTAAAAAATTTAATATTTGCATAAACAATTTTATTCTTTTTATCTTTTTGCTAATGTTTATATATATATTTACGAAGTCTAGAATGAGATTGGTAGAGTCCTATCTTATTTTCCAGATCAAGAGACCTATGTGTGTTTCAGTCTTTTGCATTTTTTACTGAATATATTAAAAAAGTGAGATTGAAAAAACTGTCCCAAGGAATTAAAACATTGAATTAGCCCTCCCCCTCACAAAAAAAAAAAAATTATAGTGTCAAAGCATTCATAGCAAAATTCTTGCAAAATTGCTTCATATTATGGATGTTTCATAATCATGTGTTGTAATGGGGAAATAATTGATGTGGTTACTGTATTATATTTGAACCATTTCCAATATCAGTTATCCCAGCCAGAGACTGAAACTGGATATGTTAGAACCATCATATACATCCCCTAGTGAAATATTGTGATTTGTCAAGCAAAAACGGCAATATGAAAATTGACATTTCATTAGATAATGCAATGGTGGGAAGACTTTAAGATTTTATGGCTAAAGAAAAAGTTTTCATGTTTTGTTATCAAATATTATTTTTGTATATACGGACCATAATATTTTAACAACTTTGACAACCGATTATGTGTCACTATTTTATTGATTCCTATATTTAAAATAAATCAATCACACGCTATCATACATTATTATAAAAAAATTGTCAAAAGAAAATTGTTAAAAGACATTTTTCATGTACTAAACACACTCAAAATAAATGATTTCACATATAGTAACAAACACACTCAACCTAGAGATGCATATAAGCAAGTCGAAACACAAATTATATTAAATCAAACCACACGTGGCAGTAGACTAAGTATCAACATGAAACACTTGGTGAAAGCATAGCCAATAATTTATCATGGTTTTGAGTCAAGTTTGATGCGGGATCATAGATCAGCATCAACTTCAAACAAATCAAAGATAAAATTTATGAGCAGATAAAGATCTTAGTACTTGTGACTCCTGCCCCCACCTATAAGTTCAAACATCAATCACACACCCACTTGTCTCTTCCAGGAGTCTTCCACAATTAGTTCATCAACTCCCCAATCTTCATAGCTGGAGAGTGTCGCCAAAAATAGTAAGAGTCAGTGGCATAAAGTATGTGATCAACCTTAACCTTCCCTACCCATAAATGGAATAAAATGTGGCTGGATAACTTATTATGTAAGGGGCAGTATTTACCTTCCATCAGGCAAGTAGCGCCGGATTGTAAAGGGTATTTTCCGCTCACGAAGCTCCTTCATGGCAATCTGATAAGTTGAAAAAACTAGATATCAGAGGATTATACAACAGAGGTAACAGACAGAAGATTATTCCTCAACCCAAACACAAAAAGGTGTCTCTGACAAATAATCAAAATTACAGATCAAATAGGAAATAAAACAACTAGGATAATTGGCATTGAAAAAGGTTCAACATGTCATACTGAATAAAGTGAACAAGCTCACTTGACAAGCCATAACATAAGAGGTAATACTGGACTTAGTTCTTGTCAGCATACAAAAATCAGAAACTATATAATCAACTTATTTCTAGAATGGTGTACATGGTGCATTCTTCAGGAAATAAAAGAACTTGATAATGAACTAACATAAAACAATAACAATCATCATTCTGATAATACAAGTCACAGTATTCGTCATAGGGAGATTATTTAAATCCTATATAAACATTTAAACAGATTCAATATAGGAAGACAGGTGCAGTTCATAGTTTGTAGAATTTATCAATTGAGCTCATAATGATGACAACTAAACAAAAATATGTTCATATGACATTGCGGGGATATTGATATTAAACAAAACACACACACATCCTTGTCAAACTGAAATATAAACCATTTTAGGTTACACACAAAGCCCAAAACCCTTTGTTAAGAGAGAGAAAGGGAAAGGAAGGCAAGCTATGATGGGGAATATAATCTACAAGCTGATAAAAAGATTATATCAAAAAGAAAATTGTCCCTCCAACTTTTACGAGGAACTGATTTTTGATGTAAACTTATTTTCCCATCTTGACAAATCTCTATTGATTAGAAGGAAATCAAGGAAGGCAGAAAAAGAAAGAGCAGCCTATTAGAATGGTTACCATTGATTCAGCCTTCGCTTGGGTTAGACCAGGCTAAAAATATTGTAACCTACAAAAAAATGGTCCAATTTGGCTCATGCCAACAAACCAAACAGACCAGGCCAATTTGGCCTAAATAGCACCGGGACCTATTCAACCTGATTTTATCATTTATTACTTCTTTTAAAAAATTATATAAATTACACATTAGCCATGAGATACACAGTCCATGGGAATTTCATTTCAGGCTGGGCTGGGCCAGCACACTCCACCTTCGGCCTGACAGAATGGCCTGACCCACTACACGCGTCTTGTCCATGAATATAGATGCTTTTTGCATAATTGCAGATTTATAAACCTAATTTCAAACCATAAAAACCCAACTTCGGTGGTTTACATGTGTACTGAGGCATATCAACATACTTAGAAATTGGAAACTAGAATATTTAATGTACTCAAAATGCAGTAACATGAAAAATAATATAAATTGCAGAGTAGAATATAGAAGATTAAGACCTCAAGCGGATCAGTCTCCCCCTCCAACTCAACCATGACAGGTGCATTCATACTGATCAACAAAAAAATTAAAATGTTACAAACAATGAATAGACAGAATCTTAAAATCACATAGTAAGTTCTAAAGAAAACCTGATTTGAACTGCTCGAGTACCCAAAATCCTAGCCCGCTCATACTTGGTCATATATTTAGAAGTCTTCCGAGGTCTCTCTACTGGTTGTTCCTCTTCCTTGTCCTCGGTATCAACTGCGTCTCCAGCCACGTCATCATTTTTGTTGTTATCAACATCCTCCTCTGCACCTTCCTGCTCATCAATCAATCAATTCATAATTGAGTTCCAGAAAATCGGTAACATGTATTTGTACAAACAAAAAAAAAACTAACAAGACAAGACCCACAGAATTATGTACCTCAATTTCAGGCTCCAGAGGCTCATCCTCGTACCTGCATCACCATTCTTTATTCCATGAGATATCATTTAACGGAAAAAGAAACATGGGAAAAAGAAAGATGACAAAACAGATAGTTCTAATCCTAACAATCCTAGAATGAAAAATAACAGTTAATCATCTAAAAGAAAGGGACAATAGTGATAAAAAAACCTTTGAAAAACTTCTTATTTGGTTTAAAACTCACATGCAGGAACATAAACAATTAAAACTCTGTTGGGGGTTTGCACTAAGGATTCTCAAGACATTGAATTGGGAAAAAAAAAACCTAAATAAATTATTTGTTAGTAGTAGGGAGAAAGAGAGAACCCCATGTCCATGTCATCATAATCGTCATCAGCCATTGTAATCCACGAAGAATAAAGATACCCTGTCTTTGATATTAAGCCTCAGCTTGCGCCGCCCTAAACCCTAACAGAAAGACAGTAAGGCATCAGACTTCCATCATATAGAATTGCAGCACCATAAAAAATCAGTAGAAGAAAATCA